AGTTTTTTTTTTTTAAAGACATTAAAACTTTTTTTCCAGCAAGGTTGCAATTAACTACATAAAATGATTGAAAATACATTTATGAAGTTACAGAAGATTCGTTTAAAATAATTGCTGTTCTTTTGAACTTTCCATTCATTGAAGAATCCAAAAAAAATGTATCACAGTTTTCACAAAAATATATTAAGCAGCACTACTGTTTTCAACATTGATAATAGTAAGAAATGTTTCTTGAACACCCAATCAACATATTAGAATGATTTCTGAAGGATCATGTGACACTAAAGACTGGAGTAATGATGCTGAAAATTAAGCTTTACCATCAAAGGATTACATTTTTGTTTATTCCTGAAAGTATTTATGTGGAACTTGAAAAATATTGGATATTATATGACAAACATTAGGGAGAATCATAAAAAAATGCAGTATGGAGAAGCATCATGGAAATTATGAAAATAGAAGGCAACATTTTTGCATTTAGTGTGGGTGAACAAATGGTTAGGACACAGTGTAAGTGTCACTGTAACATTGAGGGACCGTTTTCATGATTGTGCAACACTGTGAACTGATCAGACGTGGAAGCAGCCTGTTTTTAATGCCTCTTTTACATTAATGTGAGACATGCTTAAGTGACTGGACAGGGCGTTGTAACCAAGCAACAGATTTACATTTGTCACCAATCATAAGCGGGCAGTGCTCTAAAAATACACATTCTTACGCAAACACAGGTGTGGAGTTCAATCTGCAGACAGCATTGTGAGTAGCTGCATATGCTCTGTTTTAATCAGTTGAGAGTGCAGATATTAAAATACTTTGTATGACTTAGGAATGATTATGTACTGTCTTTCTTTAATTAAAATATATTTTTCAAAATAAATTCTACTCACCATTTCATTCAAAAACAACATGATTGTTGTTTTTTTTCTGTGGAGCACAAAAGAAGAATTTTTGAAGAATTTTCTTGCTGCTCTTCTCCAAGTACTTTAAGTGTATAAGGATGAGGTCCCTCAAGATCAATAACGACAAAAAAGTGTCCTAAAATTGTCCCTATCCCTTTTAAGTAATAGGCTAATCCATTCTTTCACTTGTTCTTCCTCCTAGGGCACTGTTCAATGAAGTGCAGACGTTGTTTTTGAGTGCAGCGGCCGCTGACCCCACACAGGTGGACCCTGAGCTGCAGTGTGGTCTGGGCGTCCTCTTCAACCTGAGCGGAGAGTATGACAAGGCTGTGGACTGCTTCTCTGCCGCCCTGTCTGTGATGCCACAGGTTGGTTCTTTCACACTTAAGACTGTTACACCAAGCAAGTTAAAACAAAAAAATATATAGTTTTAATAATCATTCTAATTCTATGAGAATAGAGAAGTCCACACCACAGCTATAACAATAATCCCTGAGGAACAATATCAGTGGAATCACTCTCAGTATGTTTTTTTTTTTCTAGTTGATGAAAAGAGAAAAACTTTGACAGCCAGAAAAACATTGACTTGAAAGAGCTTGAGCGACAGATGACAAAACTGTAACGCACTCTTATTGTCCGTTGGTGTGGATGTTAATATAGCTATCTTTATAGTTTTTCTTCTTGGTATGTCACACTAGCTATGTTTCCAGCCAAAGTTACAAATTAAAGTCCGCATGAAATCAAAATTGACTTTATTTACTTACTAGCGCACATTGCTAGTCTTGATGTGAACAATTAAACCGTGCAAGTTAATCCGCTGAAAAAAATAGTTTGTCTTGGTAATTTTTAATCAAAATCTGAGCATTTACTTCGCTCTGGAATTGCATTCCTTCTCTGATGACGTCAGTTTGACGGCTTGAGCAGAATATCCTTAAACACACCCCTCCAACCGTTAGATTGCTATGAGTGAGAGATGAGAGGAGGAGCACTAAAATAAAACCACACCCTCTACTCAATATTCCGTTTCAGCTGGAAATACATCACTACACTGAAATAAAGTTCGACAGCAACTTCCGGTTCATGCAGACTTTAAACAAATGTGCAAAATTGGAATGTCGCAAGAAACATTTGCGAATAAAGCACAGTTTCCATCTAATGAGTTGAAGAGAACAAAATCATCACTTCCTGATTAACTTGCGCTAAATATCATGAAGAAAATTTTAATTTGCTGCAGTAGGAGAAGGCACTGTTTGCTGTATAATATTTTTGTATACAATAAATTACGAGCTTCAGAGACAAAAAGCGGCCACGTTATCTTATTTTCGGAGCCTGCTGTTTAGGAACGCAGTTCTGGGAGTTAATTATAATAAAGCACTTTGACGAGACTTTGCTCAAACATTTTAGAATGACAAAATTTGCATTTTAGATGCTGTGCAATGAGATTGGTCCATTGGTTGGTCCAGTTTTATGCTGTCTCAATGCAAAGTCACGTCTTTTCTGATGCGCATTAAGGAATTTATTCGGTAAAAGTGTTTCCATCGTAGTTTATGCTCGTGTTTTCTTACAGGACAAGAAATTTATCCTACTTAGTTGAGCGCATAAGTTTTTTTTAATGCGCATTTTTAGAATTTAAGCGCATCTTGGCATTTCCATCTAGCGGTTTTTTTTTTTTTATGCGATATCCCAAAATGTGCATAAAAATAGGTGGATGGAAACATAGCTACTGTTATATTCTACATATTGTTCATCAGTATTTTAGTTCACATTCTTCCTTCTCTCAACCCTACATGAAGGATTATCTGCTGTGGAACAAGCTGGGAGCGACTCTTGCTAATGGGAACCGATCAGAGGAGGCAGTTGCTGCTTACAGACGCGCGCTGGAGTTACAGCCTGGATTTGTGCGTAGCCGATATAACCTGGGCATCAGCTGTGTCAATCTGGGTGCGCACAGGTTAGTAAAAGAAGGTTTAACCAGGGTACACATGCCAGAAAGAGCTAAAACGCTACAATAAATGCCATCCTTTTTTAAAATCTCTTTCAGGGAGGCAGTAGAGCACTTCCTAGAGGCCCTTTCTCTGCAGCGACAGGCCGCAGGTGATGGAGAGGGAGGTGCGGGTCGAGGACCAGGTGTAGCAGCCACTGTGATGTCAGACAACATCTGGTCCACATTACGCATGGCACTGAGCATGATGGGAGAAAGCTCCCTTTACTCAGCCGCCGACCGGCGAGATCTGGACACACTGCTGGCGCACTTCTGCCAGAGAGATGGAGAGACAGAATGAAGGATGGAGGAGACGAAGGGGCACAGGAAGATAGAATGCGAGTGTGGAGAAGCCTGTTTGGGAGAGAAAAGAGCTAGATTGGAGGTGTACATTTCAACAGAGGGCATGATTTTTGATGGTGCTAAAATGTGAGGAGATAAAAAAAGAGAACAAAACGAGTGTGAAACATCCATTTAGCTCCAGCACTATGTTAACGGACAGACGGATGAACTGATGACTGTCCTTAAGAAAAAGATGTTAAAACGTCCATGGTACAAACTTGCTACGGTTTTTGTAACAAGTTTACGCTTACAGAGAATCTGTTTTAATTTTGTTAATCTTGAAGATTACAGGTTTTTTTTTTTTTCCATCGTCCTTATCAAAATTACTCTAATATTTCTCAAATGGGGGCAAATAAGGTCCCTGCACTGTGAGCTCAAAGTACTTGCCTCTGTTTGACACAGAGACGAGGATGTGGAGAAATAACTGTGTTCTACATCACTAAAGATCCCATACAAAGTAACAAAGGTGATTTGCAAGCCTTTAAATTATATTGGCAACTTTATTTGTGAGTGACCGTAGGGTTGTAAAACTGAAAGAACTTATCAGATATTTGCTTTTGCTGTAAATTAATTTGCTTAATTGTAAATTCTACTTGCCATATTGTGTATTGTATCATAATTATTAATGTTTTGCATATAGCCAATAAAAATTGCTATTATGATCTATGTAATTCAAGCAATAAAGCTTTGACAAATGCTTGGTAACTAAACAAAAAATAGTTTTTTTTATTTACAAAAAATATATATATCTAAATATAAGTATTAAAATGACAAAAATAATACATACCTTTTTAATTTATTCAGCTTGCTGTTAAATCAAAATAGTAAAACTTTCAAATATGTACAACATGCTTTCTATAACTGGCGAATAGGAATTCCTTAACTAATTGGTTAACAAACGTATTTTTGGTAACAGAAGTGCGATTGTGTGCAGTGTGCTTTGACTTTATTTCAAAATATTAAACTTAAAGGGGTCATATGATGCGATTTAAATTTTTCCTTTCTCTTTGGAGTGTTACAAGCTCTTGGTGCATAAAGAAGATCTGTAAAGTTGCAAACACTAAAGTCTCAAAACCAAAGAGATATTCTTTATAAAAGTTCAGAGTTAACCACGCCTACCTAAAACGGCTC